CACTCAGAGCTAACCTGTACTGGAGAGAGCATGTGTGAAGAAGCAGGAAATCAAAAAAGGAACTCACCTTGTGGTAAACCTGAGAGAGAGAAAGAGTTTGAGCTCCATACTGTTTCAGAGAGAATCCTTCATGTGGTTTGGAACATGATATGGAGTTTCATCACGGCAGCATTTAGCTGAGTTTCTGCTGGGAGAGTTCTGATCAGGCATTGGCTCCGCCTCCTTTCTTTTTCTAAAGCTACAGACCCAGAGTCAGCTCCTTAGTAACAGCTGAAACTGAGGGATGTGAGGGATTTCTAAAATGCTTGATCTGTTTGGTATTTGGAGCAAAACACATTATAGTCATATTTGTATATATCTGAGACCCGTAATATATGCCTAAGAATAGCATGATAGGAGACCTTTAATATCCAGATTCCTCACTTGAGTGTTGTGGAGACTCCTGACTAGATCCTCCCACAGGGGGCGCTCTATCTCCGAGCTTATCCCCCTTTTTAAGGTGCTGTCATGGAGCCCCTCCTCCTTCCCTTTCAACATGTTTCAGGTCAGTTCTGTTCTGTTTGCAGCACCATGGAGCTGGCCAGGACTTGTGTCGGGACGCCGTTCTACCTCTCACCGGAGATCTGTGAGAGCCGGCCGTACAACAACAAGACGTAAGAAACACATCCTGAACCAGAGGCCTGTACTACGAAGCCAGTTCAACAGACCCTGGATCTGTTTGAGTTACCCGGCTTACCTAACCCAAAACAAACGCGCTCTCGCTAAGCGGTCCTACGACGCTGGTTATCAACTCGGTAACTCAAGCCAGGGTTTCTCTGTCCGGCTGAGTGCGCGTTCACATGAAAGGGGCGGGGCTAGCAACACTTGACCAATCACAAACATGGAGAAGCGTACTGACAGCGCAGCGCCATACTTCCTGAATGAAAAGTGAACTATAATATTAGACATATGAAGAAGTTAAACTTTAAACATCCATGACTTAAACACTTTATCCAGGATCAAAGCCACATAGCTGCACCTGCAAGGTGAATACAGCTGGTAACAGAGAAAGTGTTTGAATGCGTACATCAACAGGTTTATGATATCACTGCCCCGTCTAAGACACGATCTGACTTTAATTACATTTGACTCGAGTGTTTCGTCAACTTAATGTGTTGCTTAAAATAATACTTCTGCATACAGTATGTGACACTGTGAGTGTTGCACGGCCAGATACGGCTCAGCTGACTCAGATAAGGAGATATATGATACATTATGATGTGATATGATATGAATGATAATGGGACGCATCGACGTCTGCACTCACAGTGCCGCGGACTGTACGTAATGTTACTCTGATCCGGTTACTTATGTTGTGGCAGATATTTAAGTAAGCTTTCTTAACGCTAATGTTATAATAGTCAGATTGCTCTGAAGATGGGAGGAGGGGATATTCTATTAATGTTCACGTTCACACAGTCAGTTGATTTTTGCCGGCCGTCTTTCCTGCAACGGCAGTTTTTCTGTATTTCCTCTATCCTGTAATATGAATTGATCGCTTTAAACTCCGCACACGGAGCTCTGATTGGTCAGCAGGCGGTGCTTTCACTGAGTTGATCTCTTAGCCTGCCACCTAACCTGCTCCCGAGGAGGTTAGCCGCTCAGCATAAGTTACCATGGAGATCTAGCCCGCTAAAAAGAGAACCAGCGTCGTAGGACCGGAAAGCCAGAGATTTCCCTGAAGTTACCCTCGCTAAGAGAAAATCAGGCTTCTGGTCTAAAGCTCAGAAACACACCGTCATATCGTTTAAAAACGAGGTGGTAGTAATACTTTGGCTACTTGAGTAAAAGTAGAAGTACTCAGATCTTGTAGTGAAAGTAGAAGTACTCAGATCTTGTACTTGAGTAAAAGTAGAAGTACTCAGATCTTGTTCTTGAGTAAAAGTAGAAGTACTAAGATCTTGTACTTGAGTAAAAGTAGAAGTACTCAGATCTTGTACTTGAGTAAAAGTAGAAGTACTCAGATCTTGTTCTTGAGTAAAAGTAGAAGTACTCAGATCTTGTACTTGAGTAAAAGTAGAAGTACTCAGATCTTGTACTTGAGTAAAAGTAGAAGTACTCAGATCTTGTACTTGAGTAAAAGTAGAAGTACTCAGATCTTGTACTTGAGTAAAAGTAGAAGTACTCAGATCTTGTACTTGAGTAAAAGTAGAAGTACTCAGATCTTGTACTTGAGTAAAAGTAGAAGTACTCAGATCTTGTACTTGAGTAAAAGTAGAAGTACTCAGATCTTGTACTTGAGTAAAAGTAGAAGTACTCAGATCTTGTACTTGAGTAAAAGTAGAAGTACTCAGATCTTGTACTTGAGTAAAAGTAGAAGTACTCAGATCTTGTACTTGAGTAAAAGTAGAAGTACTCAGATCTTGTACTTGAGTAAAAGTAGAAGTACCAGAGTGTAGGAATACTCTGTTTCAGTAAAAGTCCTGCATTCAAAATGTTACTCAAGTGAAAGTAGAAAAGTATTCTCATCAAATATAGTGAAAGTAGCGACAGTAAAAGTAGTCATTGTGCAGATTGGTCCATTTCAGAATAATATATATGATATGTTTTATAATGATTGATCATGAAAGTGTTCTCAAAGCTGGTAAAGGTGCAGCTAGTTTGAATGACTTTGTATACTGCAGGGTAGCTTGTGGATTTACTCCAGGTGGAACTAAAGTCTGATCTAACACTTGGTTATATTTCACATCATTCATCCACATCTGTGAAGTAACTAAAGGTATTAAATACATGTAGTGGAGGAGAAGTACACCATTTACCTCTGAACTGTAGTGGGGTAGAAGCACCCGTTTGTTCAGAGACGAGCTTCTCCTTTAATAATTTTGTGGCTGAGATAACATACTTCCTCTATCATACTGTCCCTCAATGGGCTGTTTGTCTTCCAACCACACACACACACACACACACACACACACACACACACACACACACACACACACACACACACACACACACACACACACACACACACACACACACACGCACACACACACGCACACGCACACGCACACATACACATACACATACACACACACACACACATACGGGAAACACACATACGGGAAACACACACACACACACACACACACACACACACACACATACGGGAAACACACTTACGGGAAACACACACACACACACACACATACGGGAAACACACACACACACACACTCCTCTGTCAGCTCTTGTTTTGATAGGACCAAGGTCAGAGTGACTTCCTCTTTCCCACACTGTGGTGTAAACATACTTTATTATGCAGAATGGCCACTTTAATCAAACCTCGTTATGAACTCTCAAAAGGTTCTTAAAAAAAACGTTTTCAACTTCTGAAAACACACACACACACACACACACACACACACACACACACACACATCCTTGTTTCCTTGCCAAAAAATGTAATGGCGAAGCTGAGAGCGTTTCAGTACATGTTTCTGTCGGTAGCTGCTCTCTGATTGGACACTTCCCTGCTCTGGATTTTTTACATGATGGTTTTGTTTCTGGTGTTTATGACTTCAGCTCAGGGGGACAGGCTGTAACACTGGGCCCTGCCTCAAAATCCTGTCCCTACAAGATGGATGACCTCACAGAAACTGAGCGAGGAGGCCATCTGGGGGTGGAAGAAATACACAAAGATTACTGCATTTAATGTGTGTGTGTGTGTGTGTGTGTGTGTGTGTGTGTGTGTGTGTGTGTGTGTGTGTGTGTGTGTGTGTGTGTGTGTGTGTGTGTGTGTGTGTGTGTGTGTGTGTGTGTGTGTGTGTGTGTGTGCGTGTGTGTGTGTGTGTGTGTGCGTGCGTGCGTGCGTGCGTGTCTGTGTCTGTGTCTGTGTGTGTGTGTGTGTGTGTGTGTGTTCTCTCTGCAGGGACATCTGGTCTCTGGGCTGTGTCCTGTATGAACTCTGCACCCTGAGGCATCCAGTAAGCTAAACACACACACACACACACACACACACACACACACACACACACACACACTCTGACACAGTTTGTTTGTCTTCCCGTTCCCGTTGTCTTCTTCTCTCACTGCGTTTATGTGTGTACACCTACCTGATTTCTGATTTGAAGTCTATTTGATGCTTGCAACTTTTACTTAAAGGTGGGGTAGGTACATTTGAGAAACCGGCTTGAGATACACTTGTTGTTATATTCCATGGAATGCTCTTAACATCCCGATAGCAATGAATATCTGAAGTGCTTTGACAAAAAATCCATTAATAAATATCATCTGTGGAAGCTGTAGTACTGTAAAAAGCACGACCAATCATCTGAGCCGGCCCGGCTAAAATAACTGGATGGCCTACCTGCCTGTCAGCCTTCCATCTGTGCACAAACTTATCTCGTGCCCTCATTGGTCATGTGTGTGTTGGAGGAGGGGCTCTGTGAGGAAGTGGCAGATTTTCTCCCGTTGTGTATTTTCAAATTCTAGTGTACTCGAGCTGGTTTCTCCGTTCTTACCTACCCCCTACCTTTAAATAAATCTTTGTTATTCATGTTTTATTATCTTTGCTTTTTATGTTTCTTTCTTTTCACTATTTCTGAATGCTCTTAATGTCTCTCAGTTCTCTAAAGCACTTTGATGCCTTGTGTTGAAAGGTGCTGTAAATATACTTGCCTTGCCTTTGATTATATCAGTGTTTCTCAAAGTGTGAGCGAACCCTAGTGGTCCGGAAGTATATTGGTAAAATATCACATTTGAAATAAATCAATTATAAATTCAAAGTGTTTCTCAAATTGTTTAAAAATGACTAGTATAGCTGGCAAACAGTCAATGAGTGCGTAAACAATGCTAAATAAATGGAACAGTGTAAATAATTAACGTGTGTTTAATGTTGAATTCATGTTAAAACCATAGTTTTACTGTATTTTCTTTAGAAAATCCACAGCGGAGGTAGTACTTCATGCATTTAGCATTTCTCTCAGTAAGACGATCTGAGAGTCTGTCGGACATAAACTCCGTAATAAATATCGTCTACATTTCATAAGAGGTGTAAACCTGTGAGCATTTTAAATCTCATCTGAAGGAAATGTAGAATCTGTAGTTGTTGATTTAATGTGTGAACGAGGCGATACAGAGAAGTGAAGCTGTCACTATCAGGCTGTCATGTGTTATGTACTGTTGGAGTGAGCAGGCCGCTTGTTTCTGGATGTTTGGGGAGTCAGGTGGTCCGTGTGTGTTTTTCTATTGGTTAAGAGGTCCTTGGTCTGAAAAGGTTTGAGAATCACTGGTTTACATGTGTGTGTGTGTGTGTGTGTGTGTGTGTGTGTGTGTGTGTGTGTGTGTGTGTGTGTGTGTGTGTGTGTGTGTGTGTGTGTGTGTGTGTGTGTGTGTGTGTGTGTGTGTGTGTGTGTGTGTGTGTGTGTGTGTTCCTACAGTTTGAGGGGCAGCAGTCTGCGGCAAGTTTGGTCAGTAAGATCTGCAGGGGGGCGCTACCCCCCCCCGTACCCAGCCGCTACTTACTCCCCCCACCTGCAACCTGCTGATCACACAACTCTTCAAGGTGACACTCTCTGAATCACCAACACTCTTAAGGTGACACTCTCTGATCACACACAACTCTTCAAGGTGACACTCTCTGATCACACAACTCTTCAAGGTGACACTCTCTGATCACACTCTTCAAGGTGACACTCTCTGATCACACACTCTTCAAGGTGACACTCTCTGATCACACAACTCTTCAAGGTGACACTCTCTGATCACACAACTCTTCAAGGTGACACTCTCTGATCACACACAACTCTTCAAGGTGACACTCTCTGATCACACAACTCTTCAAGGTGACACTCTCTGATCACACAGCTCTTCAAGGTGACACTCTCTGATCACACAACTCTTCAAGGTGACACTCTCTGATCACACACAACTCTTCAAGGTGACACTCTCTGATCACACACAACTCTTCAAGGTGACACTCTCTGATCACACAACTCTTCAAGGTGACACTCTCTGATCACACACAAACTCTTCAGGTGACACTCTCTGATCACACACTCTTCAAGGTGACACTCTCTGATCACACACTCTTCAAGGTGACACTCTCTGATCACACACTCTTCAAGGTGACACTCTCTGATCACACATTCTTCAAGGTGACACTCTCTGATCACACAACTCTTCAAGGTGACACTCTCCGATCACACACCAACTCTTCAAGGTGACACTCTCTGATCACACAGCTCTTCAAGGGTGACACTCTCTGATCACACAACTCTTCAAGGTGACACTCTCTGATCACACAGCTCTTCAAGGTGACACTCTCTGATCACACAGCTCTTCAAGGTGACACTCTCTGATCACACAACTCTTCAAGGTGATACTCTCTGATCACACAGCTCTTCAAGGTGACACTCTCTGATCACACACTCTTCAAGGTGACACTCTCTGATCACACAGCTCTTCAAGGTGACACTCTCCGATCACACACACTTCAAGGTGACACTCTCTGATCACACACAACTCTTCAAGGTGACACTCTCTGATCACACACTCTTCAAGGTGACACTCTCTGATCACACACTCTTCAAGGTGACACTCTCTGATCACATACAACTCTTCAAGGTGACACTCTCTGATCACACAGCTCTTCAAGGTGACACTCTCTGATCACACACTCTTCAAGGTGACACTCTCTGATCACACACTCTTCAAGGTGACACTCTCTGATCACACACAACTCTTCAAGGTGACACTCTCTGATCACACACTCTTCAAGGTGACACTCTCTGATCACACACTCTTCAAGGTGACACTCTCTGATCACACACTCTTCAAGGTGACACTCTCTGATCACACACTCTTCAAGGTGACACTCTCTGATCACACATTCTTCAAGGTGACACTCTGATCACACAACTCTTCAAGGTGACACTCTCCGATCACACACAACTCTTCAAGGTGACACTCTCTGATCACACAGCTCTTCAAGGTGAAACTCTCTGATCACACACTCTTCAAGGTGACACTCTCTGATCACACACAACTCTTCAAGGTGACACTCTCTGATCACACACTCTTCAAGGTGACACTCTCTGATCACACAGCTCTTCAAGGTGACACTCTCCGATCACACACAACTCTTCAAGGTGACACTCTCTGATCACACACAGCTCTTCAAGGTGACACTCTCTGATCACACAACTCTTCAAGGTGACACTCTCTGATCACACAACTCTTCAAGGTGACACTCTCTGATCACACAGCTCTTCAAGGTGACACTCTCCGATCACACACAAACTCTTCAAGGTGACACTCTCTGATCACACACAGCTCTTCAAGGTGACACTCTCCGATCACACACAACTCTTCAAGGTGACACTCTCTGATCACACAACTCTTCAAGGTGACACTCTCTGATCACACACAGCTCTTCAAGGTGACACTCTCTGATCACACAACTCTTCAAGGTGACACTCTCTGATCACACAGCTCTTCAAGGTGACACTCTCCGATCACACACAACTCTTCAAGGTGACACTCTCTGATCACACACAGCTCTTCAAGGTGACACTCTCTGATCACACAACTCTTCAAGGTGACACTCTCTGATCACACAACTCTTCAAGGTGACACTCTCTGATCACACAGCTCTTCAAGGTGACACTCTCCGATCACACACAACTCTTCAAGGTGACACTCTCTGATCACACACAGCTCTTCAAGGTGACACTCTCCGATCACACACAACTCTTCAAGGTGACACTCTCTGATCACACAACTCTTCAAGGTGACACTCTCTGATCACAACACAGCTCTTCAAGGTGACACTCTCTGATCACACAACTCTTCAAGGTGACACTCTCTGATCACACAGCTCTTCAAGGTGACACTCTCCGATCACACACAACTCTTCAAGGTGACACTCTCTGATCACACACAGCTCTTCAAGGTGACACTCTCTGATCACACAACTCTTCAAGGTGACACTCTCTGATCACACACTCTTCAGGGTGACACTCTCCGATCACACACAACTCTTCAAGGTGACACTCTCTGATCACACAGCTCTTCAAGGTGACACTCTCTGATCACACACTCTTCAAGGTGACACTCTCTGATCACACAGCTCTTCAAGGTGACACTCTCTGATCACACACTCTTCAAGGTGACACTCTCCGATCACACACAACTCTTCAAGGTGACACTCTCTGATCACACAACTCTTCAAGGTGACACTCTCTGATCACACACTCTTCAAGGTGACACTCTCCGATCACACACTCTTCAAGGTGACACTCTCCGATCACACACTCTTCAAGGTGACACTCTCCGATCACACACAACTCTTCAGGTGACACTCTCTCGATCACACACCTCTTCAGGTGGACACTCTCCGATCACACAAACTCTTCAAGGTGACACTCTCTGATCCACAACAGCTCTTCAAGGTGACACTCTCTCGATCACACAACTCTCAAGGTGACACTCTTGATACACACTCTTCAAGGTGAACACGCTCCGATCACACACTCTTCAAGGTGACACTCTCGATCACACAACTCTTCAGGTGACACTCTCTCTGATCACACAACTCTTCAAGGTGACACTCATCTGATCACACACAACTCTTCAAGGTGACACTCTCTGATCACACACACAACTCTTCAAGGTGACACTCTCTGATCACACAGCTCTTCAAGGTGACACTCTCTGATCACACACTCTTCAAGGTGACCACTCTCTGATCACACACACTCTCAAGGTGACACTCTGATCACACAACTCTTCAAGGTGACACTCTCTGATCACACACAGCTCTTCAAGGTGACACTCTCGATCACACAGCTCTTCAAGGTGACACTCTCTGATCACACACTCTTCAAGGTGACACTCTCCTGATCACACACAACTCTTCAAGGTGACACTCTCTGATCACACACTCTTCAATGTGGACACTCTCTGATCACCACACTCTTCAAGGTGACACTCTCTGATCACACACACAGCTCTTCAAGGTGACACTCTCTGATCACACAACTCTCTTCAAGGGTGACACTCTCTGATCACACACAGCTCTTCAAGGTGACACTCTCTGATCACACACTCTTCAAGGTGGACACTCTCTGATCACACACACTCTTCAAGGTGACACTCTCTGATCACACACTCTTCAAGGTGACACCTCTCTGATCACACACAGCTCTTCAAGGTGACACTCTCTGATCACACACTCTTCAGGTGACACTCTCTGATCACACAGCTCTTCAAGGTGAAACTCTCTGATCACACACTCTTCAAGGTGACACTCTCTGATCACACACAACTCTTCAAGGTGACACTCTCTGATCACACACTCTTCAAGGTGACACTCTCTGATCACACAACTCTTCAAGGTGACACTCTCTGATCACACAGCTCTTCAAGGTGACACTCTCCGATCACACACAACTCTTCAAGGTGACACTCTCTGATCACACCAGCTCTTCAAGGTGACACTCTCTGATCACACAACTCTTCAAGGTGACACTCTCTGATCACACAACTCTTCAAGGTGACACTCTCTGATCACACAGCTCTTCAAGGTGACACTCTCCGATCACACACAACTCTTCAAGGTGACACTCTCTGATCACACACAGCTCTTCAAGGTGACACTCTCCGATCACACACAACTCTTCAAGGTGACACTCTCTGATCACACAACTCTTCAAGGTGACACTCTCTGATCACACACAGCTCTTCAAGGTGACACTCTCTGATCACACAACTCTTCAAGGTGACACTCTCTGATCACACAGCTCTTCAAGGTGACACTCTCCGATCACACACACTCTCAAGGTGACACTCTCTGATCACACACAGCTCTTCAAGGTGACACTCTCTGATCACACAACTCTTCAAGGTGACACTCTCTGATCACACACACTCTTCAGGTGACACTCTCTGAGTCACACGAGCACACCAGCTCTTCAAGGTGACACTCTCTGATCACACACACTCTTCAAGGTGACACTCTCTGATCACACACAGCTCTTCAAGGTGGACACTCTCCGATCACACAAACTCTTCAAGGTGACACTCTCTGAATCACACAACTCTTCAAGGTGACACTCTCTGATCACACACAACTCTTCAAGGTGACACCTCTCTGATCACACAACTCTTCAAGGTGACACTCTCTGATCACACAGCTCTTCAAGGTGACACTCTCCGATCACACACAACTCTTCAAGGTGACACTCTCTGATCACACACTCTTCAAGGTGACACTCTCTGATCACACAAGCTCTTCAAGGTGACACTCTCTGATCACACACTCTTCAAGGTGACACTCTCCGATCACACACAACTCTTCAAGGTGACACTCTCTGATCACACACTCTTCAAGGTGACACTCTCTGATCACACACTCTTCAAGGTGACACTCTCTGATCACACACTCTTCAAGGTGACACTCTCTGATCACACACTCTTCAAGGTGACACTTCTCCGATCACCACAATCTTCAAGGTGACACTCTCTGATCACACACAGCTCTTCAAGGTGACACTCTCTGATCAC